GTGTGGGGTGTCCGGGCAGCACAGCCGGGCAGAGCTCACGGTGTGGGGTGTGTGGGGTGTCCGAGCACACGCGGCCCGCGGGCCTGGCCGGCTGTGCGGTGCTCTGGGTCGGTGTTTGCGGAGCGGCCCCTCAGCGGGGCTCTGGGGCCGGGCGGGCGCTGCCCCGTCCCGTCCTGTCCTGCCCTGCTGTGCCGTCCCCTCCCTCAGCGCTCCCGCTCCGCCCCGGCCCGTCCCGCCGGGGGCGGGCGCTGCCGCCGCCCCTCCCGTGAGCTCATCCCGCCGCCGCGCCTGCCCAGCCCGGAGGAGCCCGAGCAGCCCGGGCTGGGCCGCGCCGCGGAGCCCGGGGCGAGGGGCCGGGCCCGCCGCTGGTGAGACTTCCCTGCCCTCTCCCTCCCTCCCCTCTCCCTCCCCTCTCCCTCCCTGCCTCCGGCCTGGCCGGCGGGCGCGGGGCCGGCGGTGAAACTTGGTGCCGGGGGAGCGTGTGCGGGCGGGGGCCGGGGCGGGGCCCGCGCTCGGCACGGCCGCGATTTCCGCCTCCCCGGCGCGGTCCTGGGACCGGGGCGGGTTTCGTGCTTTCGGTGGTAGAGATTCGGGGGAAAAGAAGAGGAATGCTGCTTTCGGGAAAACTTGGTTCCTTGGTGACCAGTGGTTGTGGTTGGTGGTAGGAGGTGAGGAAGAGCCCGCTGAGAGCAGGGCGCACGCCGCGGGCAGGGCCTGGGGGTTCGCGGCACCGGGACACGAGCGGGTCTGTGGGGACGGGCCGGTTTCGGCGGCTGGAACACAAGGTCCTGCCCTCGAGGTCGTCAGTGTTCCTGCCGTGATCTCAGGAATAAAATGATAACTTGATTTGTTTTTAATATATGAGTTACTGATAATGTATAGTAATGGAGTATTTTATAACATACTTTTTAAAGCTTTCTGATTTCTGAAGTACTTGTTTGCCTCATGATGTGTGTTTGTTGGATAGTGAACTGGGTCCTAAATTACTGTTTTCAGAAGTAGAATGTGACTGGAGAGCTCTTTCTGCGAGGATGAGCCTCGGGGGAAGAAGGGGTTTAGCTGTGCCTTGGTGACAGCGATGGGTCCCCTGCCCCAGCTCTCTGTGACAGCAGCGGGTCCCCTGCCCCAGCTCTCAGTGACAGTGACAGGTCCCCTGCCCCAGCTCTCAGTGACAGTGACAGGTCCCCTGCCCCAGCTCTCTGTGACAGCAGCGGGTCCCCTGCCCCAGCTCTCTGGCCGTGCCCCTGCCTGGGCAGGGTGGCAGCAGCACTCCCTGCTCTGCCTCACATGGTGCTTTCTGAGGAAGCCAACAGCTGGGGATGTGGGCGGTTTGCTTTGGGCCTCTGTGCCTGCTGCGTGGAAAAACAGTTTGCAAGAGGTTCACTGGTTCAGACTGTGTTAAGTGTTTTACTTATCCAGGCTACTTCAGAGTTTTTTGGTACCTGCAGGAGTGTTATTTTAGCCTGTATTTTTGATAGCTGTTGTTTAAAAATAGCCTTATGCTTATACAATTGAAAATATCAGGGAATAAGAGAAATAAATGTGCTACCTTAGATCCTAGAAAATTTCCTCACACTGTAGTTTGATATTCAGTAGCCAAAAATGAATCTTTCCCATTTGTTCTAATCTGTTGGTTAAGTGCTGGAGAAAATAGTATTATATTATTATGTAATGATAGGGAGCAAGGTGAGCACAAATGGAGTTTCTCTTTGCCGCTGCTAGAGCGGTGTATTTAGAGCTTCATTCACATGGATGCTCTAAAGTGCTGGTTGCCTTGCTTTCTCAGTGGAGCTAACCATTGGAATGCCCAAATGGGGATGAATTATGTCAACTTGAGAGCCAAAACATATTTGGTTCATGGCCAAAGTCACTCAGCTTCCCATAATGGTCTGTAGGAAAAAGACATTCTGTGTGTCTAACCACAGTCCTGAAGTTGATGCCATGGCAACTTTGTGATCTGGGTGTATACGTCTGCAGGCAGCTGAGCAGTCTTAGTAGAGGTGTTCTGTTTTTCTTTAGCTGAACTTGTTACTCTTGTCAAGATTAAACTTTTCTTTGAAGATGAAAGATTATTCAGCAAATCATTAAAACCCTTGTGTGTGTAAGAACATCAGCCCAATCTGTTGGTTATTTGTAATGACATTCATAAACGTCTGTAAAGTGAAATTTATGGTTTTAAAATTAAATTTTATCTGTAGAGATGCTGTTTTGACTAAAAAGTGGTATTTCATGCTTTATGAGAAGCTAGATCTTTATGTTTTCCAGAAAAACAGAGAAAGGTCAGCTTTGGGTTTTATGTGTGGGTAAGGTTGGAGAAAACCGGGTTAGTTCATGTTTTTTGGTTTGCTTTCAGCTCCCAAGACTTGAAGTCAAAGTTGGAGAGTTTATTTTTCACAAAGCTGTGACAATGAAAAAACCCCAAAACAGCATATGGCCTAACAAATATGTAAGGTCTTATTTTTTAACAATATATTTGTGTATAGGAAGCACCAGTGTTAGAAAACTGAGTTCTGACATTGAAGGCGTAGTGTAACACCAGAAGCAGTTGCTGGAACAGCCCACGATCCTCACTGCATTTGGTTTTGTGTTTACCTTTAGTTTGAAAAGTGCCTTGTTTAAAAAAAAAAAAGTTTGTTGGTGGAGCCTTAAACTCTCTGATCTTGTCCTGCAGGGAAGAAAATAAAGGGATCAGCTGCTCATTAAGGCAGAATATCTATTGTGCAGCCTAATACTAATGTGTCTGCTTCCTCTGCTGTCTCTTACTACCTTCTTTTAAAATCCATTTTTTTTAGCATGGCTGATTTAATCCTTCAGTATTCCTTGTACTTAGGAAGTTCTATAGGGCTATTTCAGCAGGCTTACCTGACTAGATGATTTATCTAAGTATAAAACTCTCAGAGCACCCAGGATGCTCTCTGTGCTCCATTTGGGCTCTCCACATACCTGTCAGAGACTCCTGCAGTGTCCCTTTCCTGCTCACTGGGATGAAGGAGAGTCTGAACCGCAGCACAGGTTTTCTGCCACTTGGTTTTGTGCTTCAGTCACACAGAGTGCTTTTGGTCTCTTTTCATAGCTGAAATGTTTTCTTGCTACTCCTCCCTGTCTTTCAGCTTCATGAACCTTCAGAGGGTTGTCCAGTGTAGCGTTTCAGGTTTCTGGTTGTACAGGTGATACATTACTATATAGACTTCGTTTTCATCCACTGTTGTTGCTCCTGCTTCCTGAAGTACAGGTGTTCTAGTTCATGGAATGACTAACTTTGAAAAGTCCTGTTTCTCTTGCCAGAATTCTCAGGAATTCTTTTTTTGTTTCCCCCCTCACCCAGAGGAGGCTTGCTAAGATATAGGCTTAATCTGTAAAGGTAGTTTGGCACTAGAGTACTCAGCTCTGCACTGTCTTTGCTTCAGTGCTCGGCCTCCTTGCGTGGTGTCCAGAGACACTCCTGTGCCTGAGGGATGCGCATGAGAGTCTGGAAGCAAAGGGCCAGGAAACAAACGGTGCCTGGGAGAGTTATTTCTCCACTGCGTGACAGGGAACAGTTGCTGGGAAATGAGGTTGGTTTCCTGAGGTAGTGCCATCACCAGTCTGGTATTTCATGTATTTTCTCATCTGCAGTACTGATTTCTGCCGCGGGTGCCAGTGTGAAGGCAGGACGAGCTGTGTGGATCGGTCGGCTTGGCCCCGCACGTGTGCCTGGCTGCTGTGGTGTCCGTGGTGTCGGCAGGGAGCAGTTTGCTCTCAGTTGTACTGGGGCAGTTTGCTCTCAGTTGTGCAGGAGCAGTTTGCTCTCAGCTGTGCAGGGGCAGTTTGCTCTCAGTTGTGCAGGAGCAGTTTGCTCTCAGTTGTGCAGGGGCAGTTTGCTCTCAGTTGTGCAGGGGCAGTTTGCTCTCAGTTGTGCAGGGGCAGTTTGCTCTCAGTTGTGCAGGGGCAGTTTGCTCTCAGTTGT